ACTCAACAAGAATAACGCAAAGGCCCCCTAACAAGAACAAGGCAAGAACCCCCTCAACTTGATATTCTGATTGTTAATTGGTCAATTTGCAACACACATTGATATTTTCATTTGAAATATAAAATATAAAAAGTATACACCTCGATGAATTAGTAAAAAGTCAACTGAAAATCGACATGAATAAGTTATCTTTATTCGGTTAACTGAACCATTTAAGCCGAAAAGGAAAACTCAAAACCGTTTTCATCCGAATGAATTATTTGGTTTTGAAAAAAAAAAAAATCTACACCCCTAAGTGTATTCCCAAGTATAAGAGTTTCTGGATCCGCCACTATATATATATTATATATATATATGGGCCTAATAAAATGAGAACTGATTAGTTTGTGATAACTGTGAGGTCCAATCTCAACCACAAATCAACGGATAAATTAGGAAATTAATAATTATGATAGTTTGAGTTAAAATTATAATTAGATGACATATTAGGTATTTTAAAAAAACTCATATCTCCTCTCTCCTTTCTCATCTCTCCGACCTCCAATCTCCGGCCTCCGGTGAAATCGGTATCACAATATATAAAAGAAGGGAACATGCAAATGCAAAATAAAAAGTATTTGCCATGAAACGAATAAAACAAATATTCATGCCTATAACAATTTGGCTATCATAATCATGAATAATGGATCCACGACTAGTGCTACATTTTCACCCATCCATTTGAATGAAATTTAATCCTCATGTGGTCCATCTTTAAAAAAAAATAGTCTATAACTATATGAAATATCATTCAAAAAGATTTTTAAAAGTATATGACATTATTTTGAACTCATTAATTGGGAATTATTTTATATGTGAACAAGTGTACACATGCACCTATGATTGCCTACAATCTTGTGACAATCAATTAATTTGTCAAAACATTAGAATAATAAAAGTTTATTGTAAACCATATATAACCACAATCAATATTTTTATCTATTGATTATGTGTAAATTAACATTAAGCTTTATAAATAAAGAATAATACATTCTTTTTATATTAAAATCAAGTCAAATCATATATTAAAAATATAAAAAATAAGTTTTAATATTGATGTATTTGAAGAGTAATTTAATAAATAGGGATGCTTTTACAAATATGAAAGCGTGTTAAGTTTTTGTGACATCTTATCATTTTCATAGGATATGACGTTTCACGATAAAAAAAACTTTCGTATTTTAATAGATTTTTGGTGAAGAAAATCTTAAAGAACCATTTGGTTCACAAAATTAAAGAGGAATTGGAATCATCACTTTTTGACCATATTGAATTCCTATGTTTGGTTCGCCTAATTGAAGAAATTGAATCGAACTCTTTAAAAGATCCAATGAATTTCAAAAGTGAAGGATTTTATTTTTTTCATAATATTTTTGTCCAAATTTCATTTAATTTCATCTCTTTAATGTTGAAAGACAATTATATATTAAATCAACTAATAAAACTTTTTCATTATCATCATTATTTTATTTATTACAGTAAATCGTACTGTTTGTTTAATACCCAAGCTAATAATTTTTTTTATGATCGTTATTATTATATTTATTAGAGTAAATTGGATCAGTTGTCCACTTGTCCCTATGGTTTGCTCAAACTATATAAATTGCCATTGCAGTTTTAAAATTACACCGTATTTTCACTATTTCAATTTACTTATACCATTTTGCATCAATCTCTAATGGATATTAAGTCCATCAATTAATTAAGTTAGAGGGCATTTTGGTCATTTAATATTTTTTATTAATTAAAAAGAGTTAAATATTCAAGTATATAAAGTTTATGCACAAGCAACTAAAGCATTATAAAAATATATAAAAACAACCCACCCTTCCCTTCATCGTCTACTCCCGTAAATCACTATAGTTTTAGGTTCTACATGACGAGGTAGTTCACCCTCTTTCCTCGCATTCGCTCCGACTACTGGATCAAATCTTGCCACACCAAATCAACGACCCTAATGTTCTTTGTGGTTTCATCTTTTTTATTACAATAAAATGCTTCCAACAATTAATTTATCCTCAACCTCAATTTTTGTTGCCTTTTCAAACTTGATCACATCTTGAAAATTTGTATCAGAGTAGATGCCAGTAGGAGAGGATGACAGAGGAAAGGGGAATGACAATGGTGCCATTGGTGGTTGCTACAAGAAGGGACGATAGAAGGAGGGGGTGAGTTTTGAAATGGTTTAATTATTTGTACACAAGATTAACATACTTGTATAATTATTATTTTTAATGGAAGACGAAAAAAATAACCAAAAATGCCCTTTAACTTAATGGATGGACTTAACATCTGTTAAGAGCAGAAGGGAATGATATTAACAAACTGAAACTATAACAACCCAAAACTTCAAAATAACCAATTAGTCAACACCAAACGGACACTAAAAGTAATTAACCACATAATTTCTCAATGCTTCTCATATGTTTGTAGAGTGTTACATACATCCACAACTGAGAATTATTTAAAAGCTAAGGACGACAAACACTAAACACCATGCCAACCACTGTCTGGATCGTGTAAGGTCTAGTGAATTCCCTTAATTACCATTTCATCATTTATAAACAATTGAAATAACGATATGATTGTTCTTGTGTATCATGGAAATTCTTTGTGGGACTCTCATGTCGATCTAAATGAATCATTCTTTCCACGGAGGCAAATCAATTTCATGTACTGATTCTTGAATACCCATTATGGTAGGTAAATTTTTTGAAATGATACCCTTATTGACACACGTGCTATAATGGTCGGGACAAAGGGTCGCGATCCCGCGAGGGTGATGGACAACATCATTGTGGTAAAGGTCGTAATGACAGAGGAATCATGACTGCAGGGAATAGAGGGGGAGGTCATAAGCGTCTATACCGTAAAATAGATTTTCGATGAAATGAAAAAGACATATATGGTAAAATTGAAACTACCATACTCAATTAAAATTTAAGCATGTTCCTAACGCATGGACATTGTACAACATTTGTAGTCATACCGTCACACCCCTGTGGCATTCACTATTCAGGCCTCTTGTAGATGTCTATCAAATGTGCCCGAGAAAGAAATTCAAGGCACACAAATTATCACTCCCAAAGAGATATCTCTATCTCAATTACACAAAAGATATCACACGATAAATTTTCAAAATAAAACGGTTAAACGCATAAAACCATAATCGGTGCTTAAAAGCAATTAGAACAATCACAAGCTACAAAAATCAGTGTAAGAGAACTTATCTAACATTCTGCACTCCACCCCAAGTCTAACGCCTGAGAAGCTCAAACTGAATGACTGAATTAACCAAGATAAGAAATGTGCTAACTCAACTTAAACCTGCCAAAAGTCTTCTAGTATAACCCTCTAAAGAAACCCTAGGAAAACGCCTCAAACCCTGGCTCGAAACAAGAAATGAAACAGGCGAAATCGTGCCAAAATAATGGCTTACACGACTTGCACCGCGACCTAGGCCATGCACCATGTCGTCAACCTACTGTTTGCGCTACTTCATCCGCAGTTCATTTAAGCTCCAGAAACTCCATTTCACTAATTGAACCACGATTTCCAACTCAAATGATCATCTAGAATCAAAAGTAAATTTCTCAAAACAATTTCCAAACCAACAATCACCAATTAGTCAACCAAATGCCTGTTTCAACTATGAATTCATCATCCATGGGAATTCCACCATTAAATTCAAACCACTAATGTAAAACTATAGCGATTTACAATGGAAGAATTAGTTTAAATCAAAATTTCTGAATGAATCTTCCATAATTTATAGATTTCCATAATCAATCAAACAGTACACTATGAAACACACATTGGAGCCCTAGATCTCCCAATTTACCCAACAAAACTCCATTAATGGAGAATTTAGACTAGAGATTAGAATTCTTACCTAAAGATGGTCGTGATTTCTCCCTAAATCGCCCAAAAGCTTCGATTAACCTCTTCTTCCTTCCTCTAAAACACACACACCCCTAGTGGTGTTGACTACAAATGAGAGTGTCCCTCTCATTAACTCCCTTATTTACAACTTCAACCCCTGTACAGAAGGAAGGTTTACATTTCCACCCCAAACTTATATAAATATAGCAAAATAAAAAAGAGGGCTATTACAAAAACAATGGAGAGATGATATAATCTCAAAACTACCAATAACAATTAGTGAAGTTTAAATAAATCACATCAACAATCGGTTCAATTCACTCTATCTATTATTGTTATCATTACTTAATATAATATATTATTAATAAATAATATTATTTATTAGCATTAGTCAGCAATAATATCATCATTATTATCATCAAAGTATAAAAACTAATAAATTATATTAAAGATGTGTAATCAATTCTCAATTGATTCCATTTTCCACGGCTCAGACATGTATATATTAAAACCTAATTCGATCCAATTTTAATTCTTTTATATCTTAAATTATTTAACATATTTCATTTCTTTTTTTTTTATTAACCTGGATATCCAACCTGCTATGCGAGCCGACTAATCCCGGAAAGACCACCTGCCTTGCGAGTAGCCCGGAATCACTGCATTTGAACCTCCATGGCCACAAGGAAATTTTTATTCCTCCTTGGATTTGAACTTGAAACCTACAGACACTTTGACATTTGGAGTCCAAGCTCAAACCAATCAGACACTGGTTCATATTTCATTTCTTTTTAAGAACACTACATATACGAACCAAACGTTTATGAAGATTCCATCATGTACTTATACTAAACTAGTTAGTAATCATCACAAAAATCATTATATATCTAAATATTTTAATACAAATAATTACAAAATCAACCACTCCTTGTTTCTAAGGAAGGAACCAATGTAAGCGACAACCAACTCACTTATTTTCTTTTTTAGAAAATGGTCCACAAGTGAAAGGAACCTTCATGCATATATGGCAACCAGCCTGTGTTAACTTTTCTTCTTAATTCTTCTTTCAATTCACTTCATCCACTATATATATCCAACCCTACTTCATCAAGTTCTCAACCTAATTTCTTATTACCTCAATTAATTCCATCCATCTATCTGATCATCTCTAACTTCAGTCAGAAATGGAGGTTCCACTGAACAACAACAGCCACAAATGCTTATCCAAGATAGCAACCAACGATGGCCATGGTGAAAACTCCCCCTACTTTGATGGCTGGAAAGCTTTCGACTCAGATCCTTACCATGCTGAAAGCAACCCCACCGGAGTTATCCAAATGGGTCTTGCTGAAAACCAGCTTTGCTTTGATTTGGTTGAAGAATGGATCCAGAAGCACCCTGAAGCTTCCATATGCACACCTCAAGGAGGTTTTGGTTTCAAGGAGATAGCCATTTTTCAAGATTATCATGGCTTGCCCAGTTTCAGAAAGGCGATTGCTAATTTCATGAGTCAGGTTAGAGGAGGCCGTGTGAGGTTCGACCCTGATCGGATTGTGATGAGCGGTGGAGCCACCGGAGCTCATGAGACCGTGGCTTTTTGCTTGGCTAACCCTGGTGAAGCTTTTTTGGTGCCCACCCCTTATTATCCAGGGTATGTTTATACTCATTTCACCCTTTATTAATTATCTTCATCTAATTTGTTTATCAACTAATTAACCTTTAAATTATTTTATCAGAGTACTTAAAAATATGTGGTATTCAACAATTTTAGACATTTCTAAATGGTTATTTTAAGACAAAGAAAGTAGAATAATTAAGTTTGATCAAAATCATGTACTCTAATCCATTTTGGTGTTTCTTTTTTCCGTATCTTAACACATATAAAGACTAGAAAACGTATTTCATATCTTTCATAACAATTCAAAGATATGATATCTGAAATTTGTATATTTATGAAACAAACATTTAATTTACTCATTTGTCATCCAGATTATTCTGACTAATAAATTTGTACATGATAATATAATTAAATACGTAAAATTGTAAAACACGATTTCTACCGGATTTAGACGACCCCCAGAACTTGATATCGATTTATCCCATAACGCAAACATCTATTTTTCTAATTTAGAAGTAAATTCATATTTTAAATTTTGGGTCAAGACTATTCTATATTTTTTCTTAGTTTGACATGTCAAATTCTTGACTATTATCTTTTTTATATATATAATTTAATGTTATTATAATAAAATAACTAAAAGAAAATCTTTTTTTTAACGTTTGTAATTGAAGGACAAGTCAACTTCAACCTTTCTGAGAGTTATTTTGATATAATTAAACATCAATTATCCAGAGAAATCAATTAACTGATGGTTTGATCCATTTTTTGTAGGTTTGATCGTGATTTGAGATGGCGAACKGGAGTCGAGCTTTTACCAGTTGTTTGTGAAAGCTCGAACAACTTCAAGGTCACCCTTAAGGCCTTAGAGGAGGCTTACGAGAAAGCCCAAGAGTCAAACATTAAAGTCAAAGGTTTACTCATCACCAACCCATCAAATCCTYTGGGGACTTTCTTCGACAAAGAAACCTTAAAAAATCTCSTAACTTTCATCAATAACAAAAACATCCATCTAATTTGCGATGAAATCTATGCCGGCACCGTGACCACAGASCATGAATTCRTTAGCATTGCCGAGATCRTCGAMGAATATCCCACGATTTGCAATCGCAATCTAATCCACATCGTCTRTAGTCTCTCGAAAGACATGGGATTCCCTGGATTCAGGGTCGGRATCGTYTATTCCTACAACGATACCRTTGTCAATATAGCTCGTAAAATGTCGAGTTTTGGGCTCGTTTCAACTCAAACCCAACACATGATCAGCTCGATGCTGTCCGATGATCATTTCGTCAAGAATTTCATTTCCAAGAACCGGAGCCGGCTTGCCCACCGGCACGATATGCTCAGCAGGGAACTAGCCCAAGTCGGGATCGGCAGCCTGGAMAGCAACGCCGGACTTTTTTTCTGGATGGATTTACGCCGTTTCTTGAAAGAACCAACATTCGACTCTGAAATGATATTTTGGAAGATTATAATAAGTGAAATTAAGCTAAATGTTTCACCGGGATCGTCTTTTCACTGCTCGGAACCCGGCTGGTTTAGGGTTTGTTTTGCAAATATGGACGACGAGACTGTTACAGTCGCCGTCCAGAGAATAAAATCGTTTGTGCACAAAAACAAGATGCTGGAGATCAAGACRACGTTGGCGAAGACCAAGAAACAATGTTGGCAAAAGAATCTTCACCTCAAGTTATCGTCTCGAAGGCTGGAAGATATCATGTCGCCACACTCGCCAATCACCTCGCCGATGCTCCGAGCACAAAACTAGGGCGAACGTATGGTACTGCTTTTAATGCATGGTGTGCAATTGCCATTGCAACGTTTTGCTAGTGTGCTTTTTGTATCAAGAAGCTTGTTAGAAGTGTATGTAATTCCATAATATGTGTGATGTGTTATTGTAATTTTTAATTACAATTTGATGCATATTATTTTAAATAAAATTTTCATTTGGTATTAGTTGGTACCTTGTGATGTAAGCATGACTTAAGATTTTATTGTAGAAATGAGAATAAAAAATAATTATAACTTTTTATTAAAAAAATATTAAATTTATGTTTAAACAAATCAAAAGTTACAACTAATTTTTGAGTATAAACTGTTATCCTCTCTTTTTAGTGATTTGATGATAATCTCTTTTTATCTATATATGAAGTATTTATGTTTCTGTATTTTCAATTCCAGCGATCTTCACTGAGTTTGTTCAGTGATCACTGAAGAACTTGTATTGTAATTCAATCAGCGACAGCGATACTTCAAGAAGACAACACTCACACCAAAGAACCTTCAGCCAATGTCGAAGACTGAAACTGAAGACTAGAGACTGGCGAGTACGTGATCTGAAGCGGTATTCAGGGATTACAAGTCTGTCTACATATGTGTGAATACTGCTCAAGCCTCAGCTAATGCTGAAGAGACCTTCAGGTTGTTCCAGCATCCAACGATCAAATAAAGCTTGCGAAACACGATTGTTGTCTTGTCCTTGCACACACAAAGGACAAACCCATACCCTTTATAAATGTTAGTACGGTACGGAGCCGACTAGTTGACTTTACTATCCACTAACTTTGTGAAATGATGTCTGCTCATGAATAGTCTTTTTGTACTATTCACTGTAGCAAATGACAAGTCTTCTCCTTAAAGGTTTGACACGCACTCTATCCCTATCATGTTGCATTAAATGTGTATTTAATGCAATAGGTATAAATAGAAATGTTACCTCTCCATGCAGAGTGTGCGCGCAACACACTATCTTAACCTAAATCTTACTTTGAGCATCCTTGAGCTTAAGTAAAAGAACTTACTTTCTTCTACACCAAATCTTTTCTTATTTGCTAAAATTTAGTGTGTAACTAAAGATAATTTATATAGGTTTTTCTTACCTTATCTTTCCGCAAACAGTCTTGTAAAATTTGTATTGATCTTCTCCTATCAATATACATTTTAAATTTGAAAATACTGTGTTTGTATTCATCCATCCTCTTCTACAAACTGTTATACATATCTTGTAAACCCTTACAAGACCAACATATCCTAATATAGGTGTCAAAGTAAAAATCACAAATTTACCATTTTTGTTTAATTCAAAGTTTTATGACAATTTACATTTAATATTTGAGGTTTAATTTATTTGTATCTTGAATGTATTTATTTGTTGTTTACTACAAGGGTGTCTGTACAATGTATCGAGACGCATCTTGATTTCAGTGTTTCGCTTTATTCCTTTTTAATGTCAATATAATACGTTTTTATGTGTTTTTGAGAAAGCGATAATGTTTTTATTTTTTAATAAAATATAAATCTAAAAATATCATAATTTTTTATAAAAAAATATCGATATCAATATCAAATTTATCTTTATAAAAGTTTTTGTGTTTTGGTGTAATTTTCTTAACTAAAATTTTTGATTAGAATTTAATTTAGGTTAATAATATAATATTTAAAAAAGATAATAACTAAATATTCTGTTAGAAGTCTATGATCATCCTAATTATATTTTAGATTTTTTATATTTTAAAATTAGATGTTTATCCTCTATTTAATTATGTTTATTCGCAGTTAGTTACACGAATTCAAACATAGAGCTTTAATAAGTTGTAGTTATGCATAATTTACTTGTAATTTTGAATTTTAAGTAATGTGCATCAATAAATAGTACTTTATACATTAAAAATAGTTTGTAAGAGTCTTTATCAAATATTTTATAATATAGTATAGATACATTAGAATAAATATTATTTAAGAGTATTGAATACTTAATTAATTGCTTTTAAGATATTTTAACAAAAACTAAATACTTTTATCATATATTAAATGCATTTTTTTTGTAAACTACAAACAACCATCCACTATAACAAAATTGATTTTATAGAACTCTAAAATGTAAAAATGTACTAAAAATACTTTATAAGACTTAAGTTTATAGAAACAAATAAAAAAACATCTTATTTAAAAGTGTTACAATAATCTTACAACAAAATAATTTTATAGGCATCTTTACAAGTTTTTTTAGTACGTATTTAAAAATAGTACCGTATTAACTATTTTATACGATATTATTTGAAAAAATGTCATATAACACAAGTGTCATCTTAACTATTTTATAAGACAGTTTTCAAGAGTGTTCTATAATTAATTAATAAGATATTTTATTTTAAAAGCGTTTTCAAAAACTTATTAAAACGTCAAAAAACATCTTATAAATCTATTATAACGATTTTATTTATCACGCTTCAATCCAAATATTTATATCTTATATATCATTTAAGTCCTTACTCCAATCTTAATTATACAATTCCAAATATGAAGTTAAACGATAATATTTGGTTTAAAACCGGCAAATGGGTTTTAATGCATCTTTTGGAATTTTTGTTTCAGCATTAGGAATACAAAATGCAATAAAAAACCATCAAGTAAATATATATAAATATGGTGTTGTCATTTGTTTTGTCTTTTTAAAAGTCTTGAAATTATGTCCACTAAAAGCGTAATATATGGTTACATGAGTGCATATGTATAAAAAGAAATAACCATCAATAGTTCCAACATGCAATAATCGAGTTTGATGATTACTTGTAATACAAAGCATAATCTTCAATTTTGTCTTGTTTGGAATACTTAAAAATCTATTAATTTGACACTTTTTCAGTATTTATCTTTTAAATCTTATCTGACATCTCTTCATACTTAATGTAACACCTCAACTCTCATTTGTATAAAACATGTATTCCATATAACATGAAATACAAATGTACATATATTGGTCCCAGAGTACATATATATGTCTACATACAAAAGTAGATACAAACTTTTTGCTCACGTAATTACATGACTTGAATATCACAAATTCATAAATCATGTACATACATATTCAACTTTCCAAAAATCCCCAAATGTAAAGCATTAACTATTTTTTTCACATCTTTCTCTTCCTTTTACCTTTCACATGTGTCCGACCTGTAATACACATTTTTGAAAACAAAACGAGGGTTAGACCATAACGTTTAGTGAGTAATTTTTTAGGTTGCTATTACAGGGTGAAAATCACCAAAATACTTTTATAAAGCCAAATTAAGATGATTACATGTAAACAACATTTTATTGTATCAAACTTCTTTTCTCGCATCATATAGATGAGACAACCCTATTTTTATCACATCAAACAAAATAATAATCAATTTGTCGCATCAACACAAGATATACCAAACTTGTCGCACCTCAATGATGCGATAACATATTTTCTCGCATCCTTACATACTTCCTCGCATCACAAGAATGCGATAACATACACTCCTCGCATCACAAGGATGATATAAATACATTCCTCGCATTACAAGGATGCGATAACCACTATTCCTCGCATCAGATTGATGCGATAAACCCAATTTCATCACATCACACAAATGCAATAATAGTAACACATATGCTCAAAATCTCATTTTAACAAACAATTGATTATGTCACCCTTATCTCAATATATATCTCTCCTGATTATGTCATTCTTATCTCAATATGCACATCTCCTGATTATGCCATTCTTATCCCAATATACACATCTTCTGATTATGTCACTCTTATTCCAAACAATTGAAAATATTATATCAAAATTCAAATATATGCTAATACATAGCAATAATCATTTTTGAAAACATCTCGTTCAAAACCATATGTTTCCATAATAAAAGCATTTCAAATTAACTTGAAATAAAACTCGCGTTGAAATCATAATCAGATAGCAAATTTAACACAACATCGAGAATTAGATAAGCAACATGTAATCAGTTTCTTCTTTCTCTTATGTTAATTCGAACCAAAGAGCAAAAGCATACACCAACTTTTCTTCTTTTTAACTTATCCACTCCATGAGAAGAAAATAAAAGAAAACATAAACATATAAATTATATTATACAAGATGCGGTGAAGCATAGGATATTTTAAACCAACTTTTCAAAATCACCTCTCAACTTTCACCGTTTAACCATTAACCGGTTATCACATTTAAAACAAGTTAAATGGTAATAACTTACACGATCAATTAAGTTTGTTATAGCAATATTACGAATTTGTTTGGTGATCATCGTAACGTAAGAAATATGTATTGCAATCTCTTACAATTTTTAAATATTACACACGTATCAACATTTTGTTTTTTTTATTACGTGAATACATGTCGTGTTATGACGTTGGCTCCACAAACTTTTCATTCCAACCGAATTTTGCTTATGGTTCAGACGATGGACCCGTATAATCTTAATAACAATATGAAATAAATAAACTAAATAAAACATTTTCCATGTGTTGAGTTTGGTTCTTGATGATCATCTATCGTCGTCACGAACTACTTTTGACTAGCTTGCATATGGTTATATGTACGGTTTAATTAACACATATTTGTTTGGTATAACTACTTGTTTCGGGATCAACGAACAAAATAATGTATGAATTTCTCATTCTCTACGTGTTCAACATTTTTTGAGACTTTAGCAAGTTGTACTGATACATGTTTGCTTTCACATCTTTCATTCCACAGGCATCAGACACTAGATTGATGTTAAAGTTATATAACACAATATTTAATCTTGTACTTTTTCTTATTTCATAAAATTTATAAACGATTAACTGAATACAACTCTCAATAAAATTAACAGGACAAATGTTTGAAAGGATGGCGAGTATAATGGCAAAACATAAATAATTTATGGATAATATCTTATTATTGTAAGGTGATCATGTAAATGTGTGGTTTTATATATCTTGAAATTCATTTTAATGAGATATGAAAATTAATACAAGAATATATATGATGTAAATTTGACACACTTGACAAAATATATGACTTTGTAAGCGTTGGACTATAACCGAAGGTAAGATACCCTTCAAGAACATCAGTGTTAGAGGTGTGCACTAATTGACTGAAAGCAAGTAAACCAGTTACACCCAGGCAATTTGGTTGGTT